ATTTATTTTAATATAAAAATTCATAAATAGTTGCAACTCAAAGTATTGCAACTTAAGTTGCAACTAGTTAAAATTTTTAAAATCAATTATGGGAACCATCTTTAATAACAATGGTTTACACTCTTACCTCTTGATTAAACAACAATTTTTGGAATCATTTAACTTTACCTCAAATCCCTTCAAATTTATCCAATTGGTGAAAGGTTTTATTCCCAGATCTTTAGTTATTCACCTTAGATCCATCTTTTTCCAATCAATTGTGAACTAGATATTGGTTTCTATTTTGGGTAAATTAAATGACTGTATTTATGAATTGATTTGGATTCCTTGTTGCAAAGCCATGGTTAGAAAAGAGCAATCTCTTAATATTGAAGCTAAACAGAAGAAAAAGAAAATAAAGTATAAAGTCAATGGTCAACCTCCTTCTAAACTAAAAAGTTTTCGGTTGATTATTGGAAAACTTGATTATATTCAGCTCTCAATTTTGGTTATTCCTGGTGGGACTTTTTAGGACAATGCTGACATGTTCATTTAGATTTTTCATCATGTGTATTCTTCTCAAGAGTTTTCTTTAAAAGGGTACTGAGGGAGAATTTTAGTGATTGGTCGATCCAAACAGGTTTGAAATAAAACTATGAGGGATAGTTAGTCTTTATTTTTGTATTTACTTTTTTAATTTTTAATCTAATTATTATCATACAATTTATTAATAAAGTACTGACAGTACCATATCTTTAAAAAAAAAAATTATTTCGACTAGTGTAACGGATTTCTCAGATTTCCTAGTATTTGATTGTGGTCTGTCAATGGATTCCTTGGGTTTCCTTGTATTTGATCGTGATCTGTCAACAGATTCTTTGGTAACCTCAGTATTAGCATCAGTAGAACTCAGGCACTATTTTGATGCTACGTTTAATTTTAAAAATTAGTATGCTTAATTTATTTTAATAAACAAAGAAGTTTTCTTCATACCTTTATTTTCCAGAGTCTAAAAGAAAGTATAACAAGTTAACAAACATAGAAATAAATCAACCAAACGTAATTAATAAACAATATATAATTACCTTTCATTTGTTATTATTGATCTTGTCTTTGGACATTTTAAGTTGTTGTAATTAATAGTACTTATTATGGTAAATATGATAGGCAAAAAAAAGAGAGTAAAAAAGATGTTGGATATTGATGTTTCTTGATTCTTTTTATTTTTGTGTTTTTAGATGACGTGATTAATCTCATTGATTAATTTAATGATGAGAGGCGTGAATTGATCATTAATCAATTCAATTCAGTTTAAACATTATGATGTTCCAAAATCCTTAAATTCATCACATTAATTTAACTTAGTAGTTAAATCCACATCTTATTTTATTAAAAAAAAATGCCAAGTTATACATGTTCAACTTGTGGAAAAGAGTTTAATTATCGTGTTTCACTATGAAATCACGTAAAGGTTCATGATAATGCAATAGTTGATAGAGCTTTACAAAAAATTTCTGAAGAAGTAGAACAGACCTATGAATAACTAGAAGAAGAGGAAGAGTTGAGTTATGATGAGCAACTAGAAGAAGAAGAAGAATTGAATTATAACAAACAACTAGAAAAAGAGGAGGAGTTTGATTATGAAGAACAATTTGAAGAAGAGGAGTTGAGTTATGATGAACAACTTGAAGAAGAAGAGGAGTTTGGTTACGAAGAACAACTTGAAGAAGAGGAGTTGAGTTATGACAAACAACTTGAAGAAGAGGAGGAGTTTAGTTACGAAAAACAACTTGAAGAAGAGGTAGGAGATCAATGTATTATATAGTTATTTGATGCGATATTATATTAATATCTATACAGTCAACCCTTGATATAACGAATTTTATGTCCTGAACTTCAACTTCGCTATAGAGCTATAGTGAATTTTTTAAAGAATTTGATTGGCTAGTTCGTTATAACGAGGGTAAATTTAATATAGTTGTCCAAAAAATTCGTTATATAAAAATTCGCTATAGAGAGGTATGACTGTATATAGCAGATGATCGATAATGACGAGATCGAGTATTTATTGCTTCCTATTGAAACAAGTCCAATTCTTGAGTCTCTTAATATTAGTAATTCAACAACAGACATACCAGAATTTTCAAGCAATAAATTTAGAGATTTTATGGAGTTACTTACCAAATGGAACTTATCAGATGCATATGGCAGGGATATACTTAAATTTTCAAAAAAGATTTGTCGTGATGATGCAATTTTACTAATGTCTATAAAAAAGGACCATCAGTTATTAGATCAGATGAATGTATCACATATTTCTTTTAAAAAGATCCCTATTATAGTATATAAAGAAGAAATATATTACCTTTATTACTGTTAAATTTTTAATGTTATAAAGGAGTTGTTAAGCAATCAAAATATATTTCATTATTGTAAATTTAAATTTAAGCCATTAAATCACAAAAGTCAGAAAATTTATCATGAACAGTATAACGGGTTGTGGTGGGAAAGGATACAAAATTCGATTCCCAGCAAAGCAAAAGTCTTGTTGATAATCATGTATTCTGATGTGACGACATGTGACCAATTAGGCAAAACCAGCCAACATTCCATTTATTTAACCTTAGGAAATATACCTAGCTGGATTAGGAATAAACCCGATGCAAAAGTTCTTTTGAGATATCTTTCGCATTAAAAGCAAAAACCAACTCTGAAAAAAATCTAAGGGTTTTCAATTGACTAAATATATTCTTTATTAATATGCTTTAAGTATATTCCCTATAAATAATATGTATAAGGAAAGTATATGGAAATAATACGTTTAAAAAACGTATAATAAACGTAGAAAAACAG